CCTCTCTGCTTCTCTGGTTTTTCTCCAATTTACTTTGTATTTGTTTTGTATTGTATTTTATATTTTGTTTTTTTCATTTTCTGTATATTGAATTTTATTTATCTGAGGCATCAGGACAGCAGAGCTGCGGGGAGAAGCAAAGGTTAAAGAGATCTCGGCTTCATAATTAATTTCAGTCGGGCTGTTCAGCTTGCAGCTGGCCTGTTCTGCAACCTGATGAGTCTTTCATGACTCAGTTATGATAAAGCGTTTGTTCAGCTGCACAGCAGAGTTTCTTTGGACAGTCTTTTAGTCTAAGGGGTGTAGAGCTAGATAAAGTTCAGTGCAGTATGAAACACATTGCTGCTCATTTTAATTCATTTCTTTGTGGAGTTTAATACAAGTTTTGCCAGGTTGAGTGTTTTTGTCAAGGCATGCAAACAACTGGGTGTAGAAAGTTTTTTTTTTTTTTTTTTTTAAAGGTAGTCTGGGTTGTACGGTCTATAGCGTAGTCGTGTACTTGGTTTTAAAATCTCTGCGCACCTTCTCTATATGTGTGTTTTTTGAATGCATAGTGCATCTTGAAGAGTTGAGATTACAGCCATGAATCACAGAGAAGGAATGAACTTGTCAGGAGAGAACGAGGAGGCGATTTCGAAAAAGGGAGAACATAATGGCATTCTCTGTGTATATATTTGTTGTTCTGACTTTATTTTGCACATCATAAGAAATATTCATGGAATGACATCTTGGAAACATTAGCATTTTTAATTTGTTAGATTGCCCCAAACATCTTCTGTCATTTGTGAATGTAAATCGTCCATAAATCTGACATCTCTCACTTCTGACTGGATCTTGGAATCTTATTTATTTAGTTGAATATTATCCATCTACATTGGCATTGCTGAATTGTCTGCAGTTTGCCACACGTTTGACATATTTACAGTTTTTGAGAACACATGGACAGGATGAGAGATCAAATCTCATTATTTGTAGTTGTATTTTCTACCAATAGGCTGAATGAATTTCAGCATTTAATACAGTGTGTTTGTCTTTAGCATGTGTTGAAGATTCATTTTAGAGCTGAAACAATCAGTTAAAATGATTTGCCTTTTTTATCCCATAAACAGTGACACACACTTTTTTGGTTCTGGCTTTTTCAAAGTGAGTATTTGCAGCATTTTTATGTTATCTCTCACTGTAATATTTTGTTTCAGGCATGTCTCACTGTTTTCAGACATTTTGTAAACTGAAAGGTTATTAGATTATTTGGGGGGGAAAAAAGACCACAGTAATTGATAGTGAAACTAATTGCTACTTGCTAACATGGTTATTTGTTAATATGATAGCACCCAGGGCTAGTACAGTGTGTTATGGTAGAGCCACAATAGCCTCACTCGCAGTAAAGAGGGCTTCCACTAATGTCATAGGAAATGAATGAACTTCTTTGAAACAATATTCAATGTATAATATTTTATATTCAGCTTCCATGTAAACAGAACAGCTACATAAGACCACAACAGCAATGCATTTAATGACCGAGGCAATTATTTAAATCATCGCCTAGAAACTACTGTGATACAGACACATGATGATCTGTGTGATTAGGCTCAGCAGGTGATGGATCAATCATATCGTCATTAGTTTGCTGTAATTAAGAGCAACTCCCGCAGTGTTGGGGAAAATGTTAAGTTTTTACAAGTTTGGAAAGAGCGAGTCGGTCAAAGACTTGCAGAAAAACATTTTGCTCGGCTGCCAGTGAGACATCAGCCTGAAATCAGTTTGAAAATCACCAGCTGCTGGACATACATGAACCAAGTCTGTATCAAGTTGAAGTTAAGGTTCCTGTTGAATAGTTGTATGTGGCCAGAGAGTTCTACCATATAGCAAAGGTCGCAGGGTGAGTTCCTTCAAAAACAAATGCGTGTCCAACCATTAGCTGTCTGTCTGAAGTCGCCTTCAGAATGGCTCAGAGCACCGTCTTCCTTGGTAATTGTAAAGGCAGCAGTATGCTTCAAATGAAAGTCCAAAATAGAAACACAGTCGAAGCAGCGGCGCTGCATACAAATACAGACGGGTGACAAATTAAAGGAACAGCCTGCAAAAATGCCTTCCACGATGATAGTGTGCCCCATCCACAGAGCACGAGGTGTCACTGAATGCTTTGACGAGTATGAAAATGGTGTGAATGATGTGCTGTGGCCTTCGCAGTCACCACATCTCAACCCAGTTGAACACCTGTTTTGGATCGACGTGTTAGACAGCGTCTCAACCACCATCATCAAATAAGGGAATATCTTTTAGAAGAAAGGTGTTCATCCCTGCAGTAGAGCTCAGAGACTTGTAGAGTCACTGCCAGTGTGCACTGAAGCAGCTCCGTTGGCCCAGCAGCTTACCAAGACACTTTCTTAGGTTTTTCTTTGATTTGTCCTCTGTCTGTATGTAGGTACATAAAGATGAAGGAAGAAAGAAATAAAAAAAAAAAAAAAAAAAAGTTTTGGATCGACGTGTTAGACAGCGTCTCAACCACCATCATCAAATAAGGGAATATCTTTTAGAAGAAAGGTGTTCATCCCTGCAGTAGAGCTCAGAGACTTGTAGAGTCACTGCCAGTGTGCACTGAAGCAGCTCCGGTCGCCCAGCGGCTTACCCA